ATCTATATATTAGCCTGATTATCACTCTTTCATCGGTATATTAATCTGATTATCATACTTTCATAAGTGCCTCTATCGTCTATAATGATAAATTAGGCCTGAGTAGCACGCTGTATAAGTGCCTTGGCCTTTGAAAGGTAGGGGTTGTTACTATAAATAGAGTTCTACGCTCTCCGCTAGGAATTGTTACTATAAATAGATTTCTACGCTCTAAACGCATTTCATCTTTTTTTTTTTCTAAATTTTTTCAGCAACAGCAAAAAAAACATCAAATTAAATATACCATACCTTGACTCAGTAAAAAAAACTAACAAATTCTATCTGTACGAGAAGTATAAAAAATAGACGTGTTAGTATACGTATAAAGATTTTTTATATATAAGTTTTTTAGCTTATTATACATATAAAAAGTTTTTATATAAGCATACGATATACAAGAACTTTTTAAATAATCATATATGTATAAGTTTCTTAGCATATAAGTTTTTTTAATAATCATATATATATCTAGATAAAACTGACTAATATATATAGGCTTAGTAAGCTTATATATACTCTAGGCGGTATCTCATATAAGATTAGGTTTTTTTTTTCTAGGGAGAGAGGGGTTACCCCTCTAGAAGATAGGAGATAAAGTATAGGAGGTAAAAATTTTACTACCCTTTAAGAGGATAGTAAAAGGCACTAAAATTTTAATTTTTCTTCCCTACTAGTAAAAGTTTTATATATATAAACTTTTTTATATAATTTTTATATTTACTTATATTAAATAACTAAGCTAACTTTTACTGATATAAGTATACTTTACCTCTATCTATACTAGCTACCCTCTATCCCCTGGTGGCGGGGGATAGGGGGTAGGGAGGGTAAATTTCAGGGTACCCTTAAAACCTAACCCTACTTATATACAATTATGATTATGTAATTAAGGTGTTATATTTTACTGTCTCTAGGCGCTGTTTTCTGATAGTATAATAAATATTAATTGAGATAAAGAAAAGTAGGTAAAATATATATATGATATCTGAGTATTTATATTTAACATTTAGGCTAAAGTAGGTACCAAAAATATAGATCGTCAGCCTTCGTGGCGAATCAGGCCTTAAGGCGTGATACGGTAAGTAACGCCTGTATACATGCTAGGCGTACCGTATATATTATATTCTAACATAAGGTCGGTGTTACATTTTACTGTCTCCAGGCACTGTTTTCTGATAGATGATAATAATTAAATAAGGTGAAGAAAAGTAGGTAAAATATATATGTGATATCTAGCTATTTATATTTGACATATAGGCTAATTTGGGCACCAAAGCTATGGATCGTTAGCCTTCGTAGCGAATCAGGCGTTTAGGCGTAATACGGCGTGATACGGCAAGTGACGCCTGTACACGTCCTGGGCGTACCGCATACATTATATTCCAACAGTCGGCTACACCTTTAATTATATAATCATAGTCGGCTACACTAATGATTCTATAATTATACTCGGTTATATATAGGGTTAGGTTTTTTTTTAGGGAGGTTACCTCTTAAGGAGATAGGAGATAGGAGGTAAAATTTTACTACCTCCTAGGGAGGTAGTAAATTTACTACCTCCTAGGGAGGTAGTAAAAGGCGCTAATTTTTTCCCGCCCTAGAGGGGGGTACAGTAGGCGCATAAATTTTTTTTTATATAAAAAGAAAAAATTCTTTTTTCACGCCCTAGAGGGGTGGTGCGGTAAGCATATAATTTTTTTTTCACGCCCTAGAGAGGTGGTGCGGCAGGCAAACGTGTCCCCCGCCTTACGTATACACCTATAATTTCACTTACCTTTACCTATATATAAAGAACATTCCTGATTTATGCCTCTATATATACTAGCTATCTCCTACCTCCCGCCACCGGGAGGTAGGAGGTAGGGGAGGTAGATTTGAGTTTACCTCTCTAAAACCTAACCCTAGTTACATACAATTATGATTATACAATCACCGTCGGGTAAATATATGATTGTATAATCATAGTGCGTTTATACCTATCTTATTTATATGACTTTAAAGAAATACCGTATATTAATATACGCGTCTTTTTTGGTATGACTTTTTTAGTATGACTTTAGAGGATTACCGTATATATCGATATACACGTCTTTTTTTGGTAGGACTTTAAAGTGTTAGAATATAACGTATACGGTATGCCTGGTATATGTATAGGCGTCACTTACTATATCATACCGTATCACGCTTTAACGCCTGATTCGTTACGAAGGCTAACGATCTATAGATTTAGTGCCTATATGTTAGCATATGCACATTCTTGACCTCGTGCTCAGTTTGCCGCATGCATGCGAACTGAGTCACGTTTTCCTCATTGGCGCAACATCAGTCTGATCAGATACAGCCTGCGTGCATTTATGCACGCATACATCAAACTCATAGACCCTTTGTCACTGTATGTACCTTACCCTCTCTCACCTTCTCTGTGAATGTCATCGTTTTACAACACTATATTAGCCTAATCATTAAATATAAATACTCAGATATCATATATATATTTTACCTACTTTTCTTTACCTTAATTAATATATCGTACTATCAGAAAACAGCGCCTGGAGACAGTAAAACGTAATAAAAGGGAAAAAAAGGTGATATTAATAATATTAGAAAGCTGTATAATATAAGATTATACGTGGCGTTAGAACGATAACGAAATAAAGTGTGATACCATTAACCGCTATGCTAAGTCACCCTCGGAGTTAAGGGCCGGGAAAATAGATCATATATAGGGTCAGTATAAATCTTCGGAGATAAGGAAAAAAGGTGAATTTTCAATTAATGTATATAAGAAGTTTTTAGAAGGAATATATAATTTAGATACTTAACTATTAAGCTATAAAATCTTTAGATTTAAGGTATTTACTTTTTAAAAGTATATCTTATATATATTTTACCTTTAGAAATAAGAGTTAATATATACTAAGTGATAAGGAGATAGTATCTGAAGTATATATATTTTTAGTCTATACTATAACCTACTCGTTGTCTACCAGGTAAGTATAATTTATCTACTTAGTAAATACTATAATAGAATCACCTTCTAGGGCGTATATACGGAGTTAGATAATTAATTGTATAAGCGTTCTTACCTTATAAGCGTGTAAAATAATCTTAGTCTATCGGTTATCTTAGCTTATAAAAGTTCTATTCTACTATACTATAAAAATATATACGAATAATATTGATACGAGACGCTGCTTAGAGCGTACATAAGCCCGGATGATTGATTGTATAAGCTCACTGAGCCTATACGTATATTAGTCAGCCTTGTCTAGACGCGTGTGTGATTATTTAAAAAACTTATGCGCTAAGAAACTTATGCGCGCGTGATTATTTAAAAAGCTCTTATACGTCGCGTGCTTATATAAAACTCTTTACGTATGTGATAAGCTAAAAAACTTATATGCAAAAAAATCCTTACGCGTATACTTATCTAGAAAACTCTTATGCGTCGTATGCTTATATAAAAAATTCTTGTACGCGTGATTATATTATCTAATATAGCCGTATAAATATCCTAGAGGGAGGTTTATTTCTGTCTATTTTGCTTATAGACATTGCTCTGAAGGTCTAACTAATAATAAAGAGTAGTTTAATGCTGTTAAAGTATACGATTCTATGCTCTATTTATACTATCTAGTCTACTAAAGCTCGAAGTCTCTGTCTATACCACTATTGTAGATTCTCTAAATATAGATGTTTAGTCTAGGCTTTTTAGCACCAGAAAGCCTAATTATTTGTTCTTATCTTCTAACAATAAGTATATATGTATATTAACACGTCTATTTTTTTACACTTCTCGTACGGACAGAATTTATTGGTTCTTTTTATTGAGTCAAGGTATGGTGTGTTCCATTTAATACTTTTATTTACTCTTGCTGAAAAAATTCAGGAGAAAAACAGATTAAGGTGGGGGGCGTAGAAATCTATTTATAGTAACAATTCCTAGTGGAGAGCGTAGAACTCTATTTATAGTAACAACCCCTACCTTTTAAAGGCCTGGGCACTTATACAGCGTGCCACTCAGGCCTAATTTATCACTATAGACGATAGAGACGCGTAACCGAGCGCGATTACACAATCATTTGTGTTTGTATTTAACTGTGCTTTCATAATCAAAACTGTGCGTATCCGACTGTGATTTCATAATCATTAGTGTGCGTATCCGACCGGATCACATAATCATATTGTTGGAATAATCCCTTATACTACAAAAATGTCCGGAACATTTTCGGTACAGGGAACAACCGCCATATTTCAACACATATACGTGTGTTTGTATTTGATTGTGATTACATAAGCATAAATGTAAGGGGTATAAGTCTGTCCTATGTACAAGAAATATTTATAGTGTCTTTTTCAATTTGTACAGTCAGTAGCACTTGATATATGTTAATGACCCCTTGTTTCAATCAACAAATTATATCATTTTAATGCGCACAAAAAGAAAATAAAATTTTGCGCGTCAGCTAATACCTCAATTCTTTGACTAGAAACGCTTCTTACTATAACCCAATTATAGGCTGCACTACTTTGTTTTATAGTTGTTTTAAAGACTTCTATTTTTAGAAAATAACCCTCTACGAAGCATACACATATTAAGTTTCTAAAAATAGATTTTTCTTATCTCCGAGAATAAGCTGACTAATAGATTGTCCAGTAGGTAAGGATTAACCGCGATTGGAGAAGGCCCGAGCGAGCGTTGCCCATGAGCCTTTTACATCCAATGTTAATTATCGGTTATTCTTATACTTTCCTCCTTCATTTCCAGCTTCATGCTGTAATGAGCTGGGAAGACTTTGGACGGTGCGAATGAGCCAATTTTATTAAGGCTTCATATGCTGCTGCGGGTCCAGATCTTGCCAATTATCACCGCATCTTTTCGTTCCTCGATCACATTGACGTTTCCGTGTCCAAGACGACCTTATTCGATGGACAACGCCAAAATGAAACGTGATGATTCTATGATCGATCTATCACTCGCACGTATTCAATCTTTACTTTGCCGCCTGAATTCTCCTCAAACTCGATTTCCGGTCATCCATATCGCTGGAACAAACGCAAAAGGGAGTACAGTCTGTCATTTGTCTTCTTTGCTGCAAAACGTGGTTGGTCTGAGGGTGGGAACGTTTACTAGTCCGCACCTTGTCGAAGAACGTGATGCATGTCAGATTGATGGAATCGTTATTGATCTTGAGATATGGCGAGAAGCAAAACAAATGGTTCTTGAAGCTGAGGAACATGGCGAAGAATCGAATAAATGCACACCATTTGAAGTCTTGACTGCTTCTACTTTTACCGCCTTGAATCTTCTCAAGGATGGGAGAAGGCCGGATATCTTGGTTGTCGAAGTGGGTATGGGTGGCGCATTAGACGCAACAAATGTGTTTAATGACGAGCAGGTATTGGCAAGTGTGATAACCGCGATCGATTTCGACCATCAAGCATTACTGGGAAACACTTTGACTGAAATTGCGCGTCAAAAAGCAGGAATAATCAAAAGGAACGGTCTGTGCATCATCGCAGATCAAAGGAGGCAATTCCATGATGATGACGATGAGAAAGTAGATCCGACTCGCATTATATCTTTTCAAGATCATGAGATTAGCGCTTTAAAAGCTGATCAAGAAATTGTAGAATCGATCAGAAAAGTGGCCTTGGAACGAAATGCAAGAATTGCGCAAGCAAAAATACCTTGGCTTACTTTGGGCCAAAGTGATCCCAATCGATCAGATTCTTGGCCAGCGTACACTACTGCCGATTTGCGATATTCGCCAATAATGTATGCTTCTCGAATTCGAAAAGGCGACTTTTGCGCAAAAACAGGCGATCATCTCGTCGCTGGGCCATCGCTTCGACTACCCGCAACCAGAGCTTGCATGATGGGTGCTTTTGTGGCATTGCAAACATTATGGAGTATTGCAAGGGATGAAACACCATCCGGATTTGGTGTGGATGGCAGTGACGCGAATGAAGAATTACGACTTCGAATTGCTTTTGGAGTGCGGGATAATTTGTTGGCAAAGAATTTGATCGAAGAATGCGTTGCTTCATGTCACTTAGCCGGTAGAGCAGAATGGAAATCAATATCACGTGACGTATTTTGCGATACGGAAATGGATGATGATGACGACGACGAACGATTTGAAATACTGACGCTGGTAGATGGCGCTCACAACCCCGCAGCAGCGATCGCCTTGCGTCAATATATCGACGCATGCATCGACGCGCATACATTGTCCAATTTTACGGCAGGAAAAACGATTACGATTTCTTGGATTCTTGCATTTTCCCGCGGCAAAGCAATAGATCAAATGGCAACAAACCTGACAACCGAGAAAAGCACTCCATCAGAACGCCTTTCTCTCGACGATCATTCCATTCGACAATCAAAGGTACAAGTTCAACATCGTGTTGGGGTGATTTCCTTTTCGACACCTGTTGAGGGAATGCCTTGGGTGCAATGTATGGCGCCCGAAGAAGCCGTTGGGCATTTCAAGAACAAAGATGATGTGATTGAGGCCATCACGTTGAAAGATCTACCATCTGCTCTACGATGGGCATCGCAAAGTGGTAATGGAAAAGTTGATGATAAAGTACCAAATATGATTGTTATTGCGGGAAGCCTTTATCTTGTTTCAGACGTGCATCGATTGCGTTGATACTTCTTCGAATGGATTAATGAATTGAGGAGTCGAAATTTTTTTTTTTTTTTTTTTTTGAAAAGAAGAGGAGATGATGGAAGTCAAGACACAAGCTTTGAAGGATGATCAGATCAATGAATATAGTGTTGCTATGAAATAGACGATCATAAATGATATATCCTTCTTTTTAGGAATGATCAATGTACATACCTCAACGACATGTTCAATTCATAGCACCAGTAATCTTTGTAGCTGTGGGCACCAGCGCGACTCACGGTCCTTTAGCCTTGGCTTACCGGCAATCTATATTATGTAAGTATGTTGCTTGTGGGGACGCGTGTGGCGGCGCAGCGCTGCTATACAAGAAGGGTATGTAGGAGAACCGAGCTACCGCGAATGATTATACAAGCCTGTGGATGCGGTCCGTAAATTTTGAGAAACTCAATCGTCATCACTGTTGAATCAAACACCGTTCAACAGATGGAGATAAGCGGCAGCCCGATCAATAGTAATGTCAAGAGCCTTGGCTTCTTGAAACGCCTGTAAAACGGCGCTTCGAAGGCTTCCTCGTTTGTCAGACTGCAAAGAAAAGGTTCCAATATTTCAGTGAGATAGACAATTTATAAAATGCTTCAGCTCAGCTTACCTCTATGATCCTTAAGGCATCTTCTTGTCGATTTCCTTGAGTGATATACAACTTCATTCTTCGCGATTGAATCAATGCAAGAATGGATTGTAGAGCATTTTTGAGTATCTTGATCACGGAAATTGACCATTTCGACTCGTTGAATTCGTCATTAGTCTCAGAGATAAAAATGATGTGATCCAATAATCTTTCAGATTCACCAATAATCTTCGCCTCTGATAAAGACTCATCACTATCATTGACGTACGATGCTAATACAGCAATCCTGAATAGTGGTAAAGAGACTTGTCCTTCCTTATCTATGAATAAAGGCTGGTATCGGTCACGGCTTCCGTCATGCATAGATAGTGGCGATAAAAAGGTTTGCAAAGAGGGACTCAAGTCTTGCTCTTCCATGATCGGCTCAATTTGCCTGTCAAGTTCTTCCAAAGCCACTGATCTCATAAGCGCAAGAAATGGAGAAGTAATCGGCATGGTCAATGAAGGCGTGCCGGGTTCGCTTTCATCTTTTTGATTTCGTATGATCTCCATTGGCGACAAATATAACTCTGCGAATGATTGTAGAGGTAAGTTTGTAAAGCTCACAAAAGCCTTTATCCAACGATCGTATAAAGTTGATGCGGTTCGGTCATTCTGATCATCGAAATTCTTATCCAAATATCGCTTCTTGCTGTCCTTTTGTAGCTTGAATGCAGCGCAAATTTCTTTCATTTCCACTTCATTCCTCCATTCCCATCCATAGCGTTCCCATTCGGTTTCATCATCCAAACAGAAGCCATACGTTGTCAAAAGAACTGAATTTGACATCAAACCGTAAGTATTGAACGCTTCGGTTGCCCGATCGATTTGTTCTTGCGCAACCATATCAACGGTCTCCAGGCCATCTAACCATTCGGGCGCCTTCCAATCGATCGAATTTGGACCTCTTTCTGCAGGTAAAAAAGCTGAAGGTCGACCATATGCTGAAGATGGTAAAGGGTCATCATTGTGCGGACACATTCCCAATTCTCCGCATTCGTCACAAACATCTTCATCTGCCTCAAAATGAACGTTTGCATCATCAGAATGATTGAACATATCCGAAACAGGCACCAATGCTAAGCCATGATACATATCCACAACGAAAGACCGACTACTGACGAGTGAATGCATTCCTATGAAGTCGTTCCATAATGCCGCTTTCGTTGAAATGCTGTCCATTGTCAAATGTGGGTGTGCTTCGGATAAAATTGGTAAAAGTTTTTGATCGAAATACTTCTTTAGTCTTGCTAAGCTCATTCCAATTCCTTCCAAGAGACCATTAGGATCATCATTTGTCCTTTTGATCATCCTGCCTGATTCGCAATGTTCGATCCAACGCCAGCATTCATTCTCACTTTCTTCCTTCCAGTGCATCGGTAGACTGATACCCCATTCTTTTTGTGGTCTACTTTTAGGCATAGATTGTAAATATCCCCACCAAGGTCCTTGCTCGCCAAGCAAGAATTCATGCAATAAAACTGTAGAAAGTAGAAGACCGGCCGCAGCATCGTGGTTGAACAAAAGATCACCCTTAATCAATGCCGATAAAGAAGACGTTTTTGCCGATAAAATCGTTTGTTTCGGCACCAGTACCAGAATTTGCCGATCAATCAATGGCTCAGAGTCTTTTCGTAGAAAGATGCCGTATCCCTCGCCTTTTGCTATTATGCTTTGTTCATTAGCAGGTATATTAATTTCCTCCATGCGACCTATGATGATGTCATCATGAATCCAGATGTGCTTCTCGTGTGCCCATTCAAGTAAGATTGATATTCTCCTTTGGTCGTCATCTGTGGATTGTTTTAGCAAAGTTGTTTGTTGAACTGTGCTAGTTGTTGTCTCATCTTTCATCTCGAATGACGACGATCGAATCGTAAAAAGGGTTGGGGGATCATTTGCTTCATGCACGGCCTTTTGTTTTCTTGGTTGCCAATGGCAGAGCTTTATTTTCATGCAAGAAAGAAAAACACTGCTTTTGTGCCTGCAAAATTGCGTTGCGCACGCTAAAAGGCTTACTTGCATGTTGGCAGAGATAACCTTTCCTTGCCAAAAGTCATTCACATCCCTAACCAACAACACCTTTTCCACTTCCTTGATGCCATCACGAATCTTTTAGAGCATGTGATTCGACCAAAATTGGCTTTGATTTGTGAACGATGGCAAGTTTGGCTAGAGATCAAGCCTTTCCTAACGGATGCTCATCTCGTTTTTGGATGATTTTCTTCTTGTTCTTCTTCGTCTTCTTCGAAGCAATTCAGCCGACCAGCGGAGAATTCAAACAAGACAAAGTTTATTCATCCAATGCTTTGGCATTTTCCAAAAGAGGCCTTTCCAACGCCAATCGACTAAGCGGAACCTCTTCTCGCTTTCAAATTCATTCCGGATCAACGATTGGTGATAATAGTGCGATCTCTCTAAATGATCTCATCTTGAGTGATTTACTCATCGTTTCATCAATCGAAGGCGGAATTTATGGTTTGGATCGAAACACCGGCAAAATTATTTGGTCCTTACCACCTAGATCCGAAGCAAATCCGAGCACGAAACGCAGTAATGCAACCCAAAGTGCGAATACTGTTGGCTTTAGCCCTTTGGTAGGAACATCGTACGGTCCCAAGCAAAGAACATTTTCCGATTTAGTAAACGATTTACCTTTGATCGAGACTGAAGGAGATCAAGCCTCAACCGGATCAAGTCAAACTGATGGCACTTCCGGTAAAGCATCCTTGGAGGCGCTGCAAGAGCTTGGACTGTATGTCGTGGAACCTGGAAGTGGTCAAGTGTACGTATTGAGTACGTTATCCTCTATATCATTTGAAGATCGAATAGATCCATATCACAACAAAAAGACGTCAATGTCTAAATTGCCGCTCACATTACCGCAGTTGGTCGAATTGAGTCCGTTCTCCTTTCCGGGTGATGCCTCTCGAGTCTTTGTGGGACATAAAAGTACGTCTTTAGTTGAATTAGACGTTCGTAGTGGAAAGATTGGCGCTGTATTTGGTGGGTCGCAGAGTAGCGGTGGTGTTTGGTGTTCTTCAAAAGACGATGATGAAAACAAGGATCAAAATTGTGGCGACGAGAGCGATCGATCCAAAGAGTGGGCATATATGGGCAGAACCGATTATACCCTCACGATTCACTTACGCGGTCGACCTGCTTTGTCACAGACGCTTCATTTCAGTACCTTTTCCCCTAATTCTGCCGATCGTGATATCGCGGAGCTCTGGCTTTCGAGAGGATTCTCACCAGATAAACGAACAATGATTGGAATGCCTGAAGAAAGTTCAATCATGTGCTTTGATTCGTCTCAGCATAGCATGAAGTCAACCGAGAAGAACGATCGCACTTTATGGATCAGTGAATTAGGCGCAACTGTAGCAGGGATCTTTGATGTCGTCTACGCAAATTCTCCATCAAGTTCGAACGATTACCTTCAGCCGCTCTTGTTGCCGCATCCGAAGAGCACATTGAATGATATCTTCTCCCGAATAGGTGCAGGGTCGAAGTATTCAACTCACGGATTAGGAAGAATCGGTGATCGTTCTTCCAGGGAGTCGGTATTGGAAAGGAGCAAAGCAACTTATTTGGGCGTTTCCAACGGCCACCTGTTTGCAATGGGGAGCGATCAATATCCTCTGGTAGCCTTCTCTCCTCGAGCA